TCTCAATAACTAAAAAATATACTGACAATTAGTTTGACAGAATTGTCATTTATTTAAAATTTTAAAAATAATAGCAGTCGGTTGATCAAAATATGAACGGTGATTGGCGAATTTATTTTTTTTTGCAGTGTTCTCACTACCTAGAATGGATATGAAATATATTCGTTCAATTGAAGGCAATAGCATACTTTTTCGTTTTGTAATCTGTGCATGGATATTAGCCAATCTACGCACATACTACAGAACGAAAAATTATGTTATTGCGTTCAACTACGAATATATTTTATATCCATTTTAGGTAGTGAGAACACTTTAACAAAATTAAATCTACAAATCACAGTTCATATTTTGGTCACCCAACTCCTATTATTTAAAAATTTTTAAATAAGTGATAATTCTGTTAAACTAATTGTCAATATATATTTTAGTTATTGATATTAAATATACATTAAAATTTTTGTGTAGACTCGATAAATAATAGCATTTTTGTTTTTATTATGTCCACATTTAAAAAAAAATAAATTTTAATCAAACTACATGATACTAATTTAATTACGAGTATTAAAACTAAAGTCCTGAAAGTTTCGGTGAAGATGAGGACAGAACATCTGCTTTCCATGCGAAAAGCCCGGGATCGAATCTAGGCCGAGGACTAATTAATTTTTCATGTTTATTTTATTTTATAAATTAGTCAACTTCGTAAATTATTTTAAAATTAGTTATTTTGTCTAAATAACCTAAAATAATTTTTTAAATTTGTAGATTTTCGTTAGTGGGTCGTAGAAAAAATATACTGACCATATCGAGTGGATTGTTCATATCACAATCAGACGATTGAGTACTCCGCCTACGACGTCGTGCTCAAACTTCGTCTTTGTGTGATATGGCTATCATATCCACCCTTGTTGAACAAACTACAATTTATTTGTTTTCTTGGTTTAAGTTTTACATCAGAAATAAGAACTAAATTAATTTACTTTTCAAGTTTTCTTGTAAAAATCGATATTACTTTCTCCAAGTACAAATTTAGTACCTACCTAAAATAAGTACTAATTATGTAATATCGTGTAATATTGTAATTCAAATTTCACATTACTATAAAGTTTCAAAATTCCCTACTTCGGTATGGTCAGATAAAAATTGAATATATTATATTAATAAAAACTGTTAAAGTATTACTTCTACAAATCTGTATTTCAATTAATAAGAATACATCTAAATATAACCAATATTGTTAAAATAAAAGCACAAATTCTTTATAATTCCAAAATACCATAGAGTTCCCAGACCTCAGTCGAAGCATTCGTTTATCTAGGTATAAACCCTTTGCGCGAAGAGTAACACTTGCCAGAGACACGGGGTACCACTTGATTTGCATCCACGAGCGTGACACATTTCTTTAACAATTGAAGCCCTTGGTCTAAAAAGGATCCAAGTCACAATTTGTCGTGAAGTGACTGTTTTAGCTCAAAACATTTGTTAACGAGGATTTTACTAGCCACATACAAATTATTTTACCTCTAATCTGAAAGATGTGCTATTTTTCGTAATATTTATATTTAAATAATTTTTTTAATTATATTTGACAGATTTAAAACAAATTAAAAATTTAATTTCCCAAAACTTACTTAACATGGCATGTAACCAACCTTATTACGTCAAGGTTTTCAATTTTTTCAATAATAAAAAAAATTGCTTAAGCCGGGCCCGACTTTTCCCTTTAATCTAACAGAGATAGCACCATTCCGTCTTGCTTGGTTCTCGACCGCCAGATCAAAGGCGAGTTCGGGCTGCGCACTCCAGAGTGGAGTGGAGTAATTAGGCGTAAACGGAGTGCGAATATGATTTTACTCCTTTAACTCTCGGAGTGCAATGTCAGTTGTCAATGTGACATACCAGTACTTAAAATTTAATCGTACTTATCAGTAACGACCGTATAAGTTTCTTCCATATTAATGATATTCACGGGAACCAAAAAAAAAACTTATTTACTAAAGAATCAGTCACAATTAACTTATTATCGATTTAAATCACCTTATGCGCATGCCCGATCCACACTCCACTCCACCATCTCCGAACGGTCAAAGAGGAACTTTTATTTTAACTCCTTTCGTACCCGAACGCCTTAGGTACTTTAGGAGTCAATTTAGTGAAAAGAGTGCGTAGACCGAACTCACCACAAAGACGCCGACACGGAGTTGTGGAGCTGTATTGTATAAGCTGTGGTATATCTCTGAATTTCAAACCAAAAAAAAAAGGAATTACTTTATAAGCTTACTACAACATACTTGGTAACAGTATTGTGGTTACTCTGTTGACGTCACACATACTGTGGTAACGTTAAATGTGTAACGTCATATATGTCAAATTTAATTTGGGAATTTCTAAACCAAATTAGAATTATAAGAAATTTTAGGATCTTTGATAACATATAACGTCATGGAAGAAACCAAACTGTACAAATAAATGTTCTGGTTACTATAGTATGATCTAGTAAGTTATGATCTAGTAAGTTATGATGGCAAGCTTATAAAGAAATGCCTTAAGTTTACTATTATACTCCGCTTTTTTGAAGTCGGTTAAAAAAAACCGACTTCAAAAAAAGCGGAGGTTCTCAATTCGACGCAATATTTTTTTTTATGTATGTTCAGCGACAATTCTTTAACACGTTGTCCGATTGCAATGATTCTTTTTTTGTAAGAGAGGGGGTACTTCAGGGGTGGTCCCATATAAATTTGGTCAAAATCTAATAATTGGGTCCATGAGAAAATCCTCAAACTCTTCATTTTTTATGAATGTTTAGCGATAATGCTTTATATGATTCTTTTTTTGTTAGTAAGGGGGTACCTCAAGGATGGTCCCATATAAATTTGGTAAAGATGTGATGGCATCTGCACGTTTTTGAAGTCGGTTTTTTAAATTTTTAATTTCTAATACTTGTTTTGCGCAAATATCATTGGAAGGGTTTAACTTCACAATAGAGAAATTGCTGTGTCTACCAAAGGACGGGGATGCAAAAAAATTTAGTGATGGTGCATATTAGTGTATTAGGAGTGCATATCGGTGCAATATTTTTTTGGGAAAATATTGCGTGGGGTTAACTTTACGGTAAAGAAATAGCTATAACTACTAAAGGGAGGGGTTGCAAAAAGTTTAATTGGTGGTGCATATGAGTGCATGACAAGGGCTAACTGGTGCATTACAGTATATCTTAAAATTTTCAGTGGGAGGGGGGCAGCGTTCATTTGACCTCCCCCCCCCCACAAAGAGATAGCTGTAGTTTCTCAAGGAAGGTGGTGCATCATTAGTGTATTGTGGTGCAATAGTTTTTTTTTAAATATCTTTGGGCCAACTTCACCGACCTCCTATTCGTGTAACAAAAAAATAAAGTGGAAATAAATTGCATAATTTGGTGTATAAAAGAGACCAAAATGTTTTTAGTTTTTATTCCACTATGAGGAAAACTGGTTCATTCCACTTGTACTATATTGACATTGTGTACGTTAAAAGTAGACCTGTCTCTGTTTTTATAATACTATATACTACTACTGCAGGACAAACGATAATCGTGGATTTCGCTAAATGACCATCAGAAAAGTGTTGCTAACTTAAGCTGACTACTATTTCCCCCTCATCCATTAACTGGGTCTATGTCGCGACCCCCTTAGATATACCAGCCCTGGTATCAATCTTCTTTTGTACTATCGTATTTATTTTTTTCATTCAATTTCTAAAATTTCTGATTATTCACTAGTTTTCCGAATTTTTTTTGTCTAAACAAAATTACATTTCTGAAAAGTTCTATCAGATTTAATTGTATTGTATTTTTGTTTTAAATAAACTGGTAGGATGAAGGGTCATAAGTCAAACTTAAGTTACGAACTTATTCGAGGGGGTGCGCATTAGCCGGTATATTTTTTCATACTAATCAAAATCTTACTTCTTAATGATTGCAGAAAAATGTTATTTTCGTTACTCATAAATCAATATACTATTTTTATTTTCCTAGTGTACCTATATCAATAAATAAGATTTTTCCTACATTGATTCAGTTTAATCATTCGATGAAATGAATCTTCCTTAGGACCTTCTAATTCTGAAGCATCCTTTTTATCGCGATAACGGTACCAACCTTATAAGGTAGTGGGTAGTAGATACAAAAAAAAATGTCCTACCTTTTCTCCTCTTTGAAGCATATGTTTGTAATTTGAAACATATTTTTGGAAACTACAGATGATTGTTTTTAAATATTCCTAGCAATTAAATAGGAAAATTTACTCAATTAAAGAAAATTTCCAACTTTCTATTCTAATTTTAAACTGTTTTTCCAACCAGTATATTTTTTTAATAGACTTTTCAGAATTTAACCCGTTTTTATCAATTACACAGGGCAACAAAAAAATATATTTTTTTTGGTGCCTGGGATTTTAGAGCTGATTTTAACTATATTTGGAACGCTAAATCTCTACTTTTTTAGATACATCAACTTATCTATCAATGTGGTTTTGTTTTTAATTTTAAAATTTGGTACAACTCTTATACTTTTCATTTAACAAATTGGTGTATTTTGATGAAAAAATATTTTTCGAGAGGTAAACAGCAGATGGAATTAGGTGTACAAGGGTAGGAAATTGCGAGAAATTTACAGATTTAAAAAATTTTAGGAAATTAAGAGAAATTGTTAGAATTATCGAGAAATTGTGGGAATTGACGGATAATTACGAGAATTGCCAGTGAATTGCGAAAATTGTAAGTAAATTGCGGGAATTGGTAAGGAATAGTATAGGAATTCACGGTTAGTTGTAGAAAATGCCAAAGAATTGAAAGAATTTTAAAGGACTTGCGGAAATTTGATAGTAAAAGGGAATTAAATGTACAAATAATTTTGACCTGCAATTTACTCCTCGATATTTTTATTATCTTCCTGTTTTAAATACATAAGGTTATATATCCCAATAGTAAATATATCTACAAAATGTATTCAAATCCAAAATACATACCTCCTGCACTTTCGAAAATGAGTACCGCAAAAATCACTGTGCGCTTCCACAATTCCATGGCAACGAAAATTTTCAAACATCTATGATGGATAACCGGTAAAAGCAAAGATAGTAATAAATAAAACACCGATAAGATTATTTTGATTTCAAAATTCAAACAGCTCTGACATAATAACAATACGACCATCTATTCGCGCTGAAAAACAAATGCGGCGCGGTAACAGGTATTGCTTGCTATCCAGTCTAGATTTCTAATTATCTTTTAGTACGGAGCATTGGAAACAATTTTTATGTCATCATAGGTTCAGCGTTTTAGTCACTGGAAACCTACGACTTGGAAACAGGTACTCCGCCACGTTTTTGTGTCTGTAATATTCCATATTTACAATAGTTAATATAATTAAAACAGTCTACTGAAATATTTTCCAATGAGAAATTTTTTAGGGAAATTCCCCGAGACCGGTCGATTTTGATTTCAAGGGGGACTTCTATTGATCTTCAATTCATGGATATAGGTTCATACCCCTAAACGGGGTGGCAACTCCTTCAAGAGTACTAAATGGCACGATAGGTCAAGTGGCACATCATTTTAAAGGTATTTCAATTATCTTTTTTTGTTTTGTATTAAAATTAATGTAAAACAACTGTTGAGAGTGACAATGAAATAAATCGAAGAAACCTAAAATGTAATATTTTTAAAATGTTACTGGACATTCGGTTAAATGTTTATCTTCTCCTTTACAACGATTTATCTGCAATTCTTTGTTTTTATTGTAGTTAAACCATTTTGTATACCTAACGAATAAAATAATAAATTTACATCAGGCATTGTAATTTGAAACAAAGACAATGGTTTTTAGAAAATAGTTTTCTATTTTATAGAGGACCCTTACCAAATCTACTCGAATGTATAAATAATAATTATTTATAAAATAAATTCTGGAAGTCAAAAATAAACCAACAAAAAAGACAAGACAAATAACAAGAAAAACTGACAAGTGACAATTGACATAAACATAAACATTCCGAATTTAGAATTGTGATGTTCACGGTACTTCTCGTGGATACTATTTTAGCAAATTACTTTATTACGTTGTGTTAACATAACAGGTAGGTTAAATAGGTAAATAAATAGAAGTTCTGCTAGGTTTCAACAACTTCTCATGAACGTTGCATTTACGTTGTATAGTAATGTTATTACGTTCCCTTAATGCAACATCGCTGAAAGGCTTGGCAACGTTATGTTCTAGCTAGGTCACCATTTATTGAAAAATACATCAATTTCTTGAATCTGATCGTCGTTTTCGAGAATCTCCACAATGCGAGCATAGATCAAGTCTTCAAGCAAATTAAGGTAAGTTACCAGGTAGAAAAAAGAGACCAACAATATTATTGGCCCAAATCCCAGCTCATGCATTCAACTTTTCTGGATATTGTGATTGCTGTTCTCTCATATTTCGTGAATTCGAATCACTCCCAGTATCTGCAATTATGTCTGTTGACGTTACTATTGAGAAAGAATATGCATTCGTCAGAGAAGCTTGTAGAATATAAAAAATTAGGATTGTTTAAAATTATTCCAACCATCTCCTCACAAAATTGTATGCGGCGATCTGGATCATCTTCATCGAGTTTCCTCCACATACTTATAATAGGTATACGGAGCAAGAGAGACGTCCGACCTGTTTAACATAGGGGCGGCCATTTTTATACAAGATTACTAGTACATAGGTGACCAGAAATACAGCAATATGAAAACTTGGTTGCAGATGTCTAGCTCTTTCCACTTTTAAATACATAATTTTGTACAGATTTTTTAAAAGAAATAATACAATATTATATTTGAATTAAATTTTTATTCTACAACAAATAAAAATATTTTAATGTTTAAAAATACATGTTAGGCTGATAAATAATAGGCCGACAAATAATAGATTAAACACCTAAATACTAATTTTAAATGACAAAAGTAGAGGAAGTTAAAAATATTAAAATTTCCAGGATACTTTAAAATTAAATTGATGGTTGCATATTTGTTTTATTTTAAACAATTTACTTTCTTCTTGTATAATTTCTAAAAGCTACAAATTTTTAGTGAATGGGTCGTCCTTATTGATTCTGCAGTGAATTGTACTAACAACTTAAAAGAAATTTTGTCCAATCTCTATATGGCAGATAACCACAATAAGGAACGATCTGCTTGTTTTGGAACCCTAAAATAACATAAAGACACTGCTTTCATATCCTTTATTTTTGCTAAATCTTATTACTTGTGGAATGTAACATTTGAATCTATTGGCAACAGTCTTCTTATGTTCTTGCAAGATCTTACAAGACATCTTGAATAAAGCCCAGTATAGAGAACTTATACTGGGATTAAAGTCTATTCACAAATGTTAAAATAAATAAAACGTTTATACACTTAGAAAATAATATCCACAATCAAAATATTCTAAAATAACACAAAAAAATTTAACCAAATTCACAAACACATTAAAATTTGACACTTTTGACAGATGGAAAGATAAATTGGTTGCATAAGTTTCAGTTTGTTTATATAAAAATGGCGGTCATTTCTATCTTCTTTTATTAAACACTCAGTAAAGATGCGCAGAGGGTTTTACGCCGTATACCTATTTAAGTATGTGGTTTCCTCACGAGATGAATTTTATAGGGATGGAATCCATGCTTTTTTTAAATTCTCTGAAGACTACTACGTGGAATTCCTGAAGTTGCTGCTACTTTTCTGGTTCAGTTCAAAATGATCCAACATTGTAACCTGTGAAGCCTCGTTAGTAACAGTGTGTTGCCTTTCATATTGTTAGCAATGGATCCGGTCTCCATGAATTTAGTTATTAAATTTATTACGTAACGATGGCTGAGGTTCTTACCAGGCTGCTTTTCATTAAAATTTCTTTCCCGGGCCCTTTTATTGTTGATAAAATAGAGTGCGACAATTCCAATTCGTTCTGCTGTGGTGTTAACTATGATTTGAATTGTTTGCTTCAAGATAGCGGATAATAACAAATAAGCGAATTTCTCTACACTAGGCTCACTAGACAATAATTGTGATTGGTGTAAAATCAGAATGCAACTACCTGTAAAATCGTAAAAATAAATCTTACTTAATGTTTTGTAGTTGAGTTCTTCGACACTGTCAACAGGTGTTTTACATTAATTCTAATACAGAATAAAAAAATGTTAGGATGTTTGAAAAGAGAATTGAAATACCTTTAAAATGATGTGCCACTTGATTTCTCGTGTGCCATTCTTAAAGGGGTTGCCACCCCGTTCAAGGGTATGAACAAGCATGAATTAAAGATCAAAAGAAGTTATCCTTGAAATCAAAATCGACCTGCTTTTGGGGATTTCCCAAAATAACTTCTTCTAGGAAATTGTTTTTGTTAGACTGTTTTAATAGGGCCATCCTTTATTATTTGTAAATAAAAAAAATACTTTAGTCAGTACCTATATATAGAATTTTAATTTGTAATCCTTTGGGGAGGACAGTCTTTTGGTCGTTATAGTACCTATAAAAACATAAAATTTAAGTTTTCGGCCTCAAACACCTTGCAGCTCTTCCGCCGTTAGAATTGATAATCTTGTTGAAAGAAGGAAACAGCTGTTTTTTTACTTTATAATAAGTACAAAAAGTATCTTCATTTTTAACTTTGGTGTCAGAGCTACAGTTTTTCCTTTGTTTTTCTTTTAAATAAAGATATATCACCAAGAAAAAAGTTGTAAGTTACATGTAAATGTAATGTTTTATTTTTATAAAAACAAGCTGAAATTTTTATAAAACGTTTTTTCTTATTTCACAAAAGTTAACAAAAATGAAGCTGACCCCTTCTTGCAGCATATGGTCCTCAACTTAGTAGTTTGTGTAACAAGAGTGGACATGATGACCATATGGTTCGTAGCAATTAGGCACTTTTTTATTTACCTACTACCTACTTACCTCATAAGTTCCCCTTTTTGAGCTTTAAATGTCAAAGCTTTTAAAATAGAAAAACAAATAGATCCAGAAGTATTGTTAAAAAATAAGAAAGAATGTTATGATATAAGAGCCGCTTTTTCGGGCTGGGCCGTAAGAGTTTTTGTAACAGCTCATTTGAAGTATATTGAAGTTCAGTGGCGTAACTACGAGTACAATGGTGCTTGGTGCGGTGGCACCAATTCCCGCGAACAATTAGAGAACCCAGTTAAAGCCTATTAAGATCTATAGTAGATCTACTATCTTTTATTGTTTTTAGACAGTGTTAGTCAATGCCAGTGAAAATGATCTGTTCCAAGTGAAACAGGTTCTTCACTCAAAATATAATGATAAATTTATTAAACTATTTAAACCTATTTAGGATATACATTTTTTTTCAATCAATTTTAAGTATACCCACTCCAAATTTTGACTTTCTAAAATTATCATTTTTATTCATGCCAGTGAAAATGATCTGTTCCAAGTGAAACAGGTTCTTCACTCAAAATATAATGATAAATTTATTAAACTATTTAAACCTATTTAGGATATACATTTTTTTTCAATCAATTTTAAGTATACCCACTCCAAATTTTGACTTTCTAAAATTATCATTTTTATTCATGCATTTATGATCATTTCTCATTCAATAAACAAATGTGTTAATTATGATTAAAATTTATCATGAATTTGCAGAACAGCTTTTCATATTTAACACATTTTATATTTTTAAAGTAAATTTTAACATATTATTCGTTATAGAATTACCACTATACCCTTCTATCAATCAATATCCTTTTGGCACCAGACTAAAATATATAAATTTCCTTCATTTACTGTCTATTAGCAGACTGAGAGACTATTATTACTAATCGATATGATTTTTAAATTTCTGTTTAAAAACTTGTTCTGAGTGGGGCATTCACTTTCTTGAAGTTATTAATAAATGAAAGTCATTAAAATATTAATGAGCATAGCTTAGTAGAGGAACAAAAAGGGAACAATGGATCTGTATTGAAATGTTGCATTAGGAAAATGATCCAATTTTCGTTACTGTAAAACAGGGCTACTTTAAAAGAGCAGGTAACTTAAAAAACATGCAACCGTACGACTATAATAGACTATGAAGATAGTTTTTAGTGCGTACTTTCTGGTGTTTCACAAAATATTTGCAAAAACAAGATATGGGGGGTACTTTATAAGTGGTGCGTGCGTGCGTGCGTGCGTGCGTGCGTGTGGTGTGGTGTGGGTGCGTGTGGTGTGGGTGCGTGTGGTGTGGGTGCGTGTGGTGTGGGTGCGTGTGGTGTGGGTGCGTGCGTGTGTGCGTGTGGTGTGCGTGGGTGCGTGTGTGCGTGTGGTGTTTGTGTGTGCGAATGTGCGAGTGTGTGTCCACCATAACTCATGAACCGATACACAGAAAAACACCAAATTTTAAACTTAAGCTTTATTCTAGCGTCCAATGAACTGATTAGATTTTGGGTAGAGTCGGAACTTCTGGGGGGGGGGGGGTACTTTATTGATGGTCATTTTTATATTTTATAGAATATATCTGTTATTTACGTTTGGGAAAGAAAATTCTTCAAATAAAAGTTACTTACAATATTATTATCAATATTTTTTGTTTTATACCGAATTTTCCTAAAATGGCCCGTATTCGAGAAATTTGACAAAATGTAAAAAAATAATTTTTTATAAAAATTGTTCGAATAAAAGTTGTTTGTAATATAATTCTCGTATAATTTTTATCCTATACATAATTTTTCTAAAATGGACCGTATTCGAGATATTTGAGAAAATGTGTAAATTTCGAATTTTGAAAAAACTCAAAAACGAATGAAGGAAAAAGCATTAAATTTTAAACTTAAGTTTTATTTCGGCTTGACATGAATTGGTTAGATTTTGGTTTTTTATATTTTATGGAATATATCTGTTATTTATGTTTGGAGAAGAAAATTGTTCAAATAAAAATTACTTCTAATATTATTATCTATAATTTTTGTTTCATGTCAAATTTTCATGAAATTCGAGAAATTTGAGAAAATGTACAAAATTCTGATTTTTGAGAAAATTGTTAAACTAAAAGTTGTTTGCGATATCGATCTCTATAATTTTTGTTTTTACATGATTTTTCTAAAATGGACCGTAATGGAAAAATTGGAGGAAAAGTGCTAAATTTAAATTTTTCAGTATTTTCGTTTTCAATGAATATCTATAGAAAAATGTTTCGAGTTAGATGTATGTAGAAAATGTATATATTTAGTTTATCCTCTAAACATTTATAGAAGTGCTACAATAGGTTGTACAAAATAACTGGAAAAAGCTTATAATAACTAGATAGGAAAGTCATGTGTTGGACACATCAGATTTTTAACATTCTTAATCTGTACAGGCTGATTAACATTTAATCTGCAGGATCTATGACTGGGGGTCAAATAATAATACTTACAGAGATAAAGGGGTGTTAAAGTTATAAAAATAATTTAGTAATGTTATTATATGTATTTCAATATTTTTTCTTCAGATAAAAATAAAAGTCGCTATAATTAGGTTTTTTTGTCGAATAAGCTATCATTTTTGGTGTATTGTATAGAGGGCGCTATCTACGTAAGGTATCTTGGTTTATCAAATTCCATCATAATATTTCACCCAAAAACAAAATTACAAAATTAAAAAATAAATTCAAATGAAAAATATCCACCTTTGAGTGTGAATATCTCGAAAACCAATCACTTTATGAGTTCCCAATAAAAGTACAGGATTTATTTAAAAAACATCAAAAAATGTAAAAGTATAGTCCAAATAAGTTTATGGACAATAGCGTAAAATTTAGAGGGGATGAAGTTTATTTGACTGATTGTTTTGCTGATACCAAAAATGCTTAACGAATTAAGTAAAATTGTACCAAGAAATAAAAAAATTATAGCCATTAATAATTTTTGAATTTTCAAATTTCGGAAACCAGTACCATTTTGTCGAAGCATGTTTTGTTTAATCGTCGTATTTTTAATCAGAGAATCTTCATTTATTCTGCATCCCATTCTTAATGACTGTATATCTTGTTATCAAGTAATTTTCAACTAAAAGTTTATTTTTTAAAATTTGTCGAAAATTGCCAATTGTCTCTTTTCATCATATTTGAACCATATTTTCTTAGTATAACTTGTCCCTATTTTCATCATATATTTCCTCAACACATAATGTAGACATAAAAAATAAGGACAAAAAAATATAATATTTTAAAATATTACTTATCTTATTTTAAAATATTACTTATTTTATTTTAAAATATTACCTATTTAAACTAAAAAATATGAACAAAACTGGTAAACCTACCTCTTAATATCAACCCTTCAAGAATTTAAGGATTACAAGAATTTTTTTAAAAGATATGTTTGTTCAGTGTAAAGTTTTAATAAATATACAAACAAGGATAACCATGTACGGTCCGAATAAAATTAGAAGAACACACCTACGTCATAACCATTACTTCGAATTTCGAATAAATATTATATATAACTATCAATAAATAAAAAAAATAAGTAAGTTGTTAGGTATAAGACAATATTTCCTATATTCCTATAATATTAACATTTCACTAAACCCCCAGTAGGCGGCCATAACCAATTAATTACTTTGCCAAATGATAACGTAGCTGTGTTCTAATTGTAATCGAATCCTACCTACAATTGTCGAACAATATACTTAGGGTGATATAAATAACTTCTAAAAGTTAGTAGTGTTTGTCCGAAATTGCTTATTAGGGATACAACAACCTCTAGAACGGGCTTTGATATATTATGTAGTTGTAATATTTTTTAAAAATATATATTTTTATTAGGTAAGGTACATCATTTAATTGATAATCAATAAAAATAGTTAAATTATAAGTTGTTTTGGACATAGTTAAAATAGTTAATCATTACTTATTTTTAGGTGTTCCATCAGCCCTAGAAATAGGGATCGGTAATTTTTTGGTTCACCTTTTAAATCCCTTCAAAAGCAATATTTCCTAAATATTAATTAACAGACATATGCTCTATAAGCAAACTAATTTTGTTTTTTAACATTCCGTCTGAATAATATTGAAACACATTGTATATTATCCTACTATATAGGCAACACGTTTTACAATAACAATTTATGACATCTCTAGAGAAGAGAAGGGGAAACTTGACATTTGAAACCAAAAACTGTGTCAGGTCACCAGTAAATTCTGTGATTTTTTCAAAAAATTTGCCAACTTGATATTTTCAAAATGCAACTAGTAGCTCATTTGGTAAAAGATTCAATCCCAAATTACCTATCTAATTTGCCAATACCGGACACTATCGGTGGATGGTTTAGGTTAGGAAGTAAGTATTTTTTTTTGTATATTCAAGGATTATTTTGTTCTCTGATTACCTAAATGATTGCTTAATTCCAGCACGTTTTTTACATATCTGTTTTCATTATAAGTAATGATAAAGAATTGATATTAGAAGTGAAAATGATCATAATTGCCAATTTATTCAAAGTAATTGTACCTATTGTGGTTTTTGTTAATATTGTTATTAATTCATTTCCCTGCTATTTTTAAGTTAATACAGTTTATCTACGATATATTATATTACTTCAAATGCCATTTAGAACTAATATATTGAACTTTGATCAACTGATTTCACCTAAGTTTAAGTAACTAAAGTTCAATTAATAAAATACAATTATAAGCCATACCAGACTATGTATTATACAAAATAGTGCTAAGTGATGATAAGGAACCTATTATAATCGTTAATATTTGTTTACCTTAGAATTTGTATGACATTGTTTGATCCAAAACTTACTAAAATTACATAAGTAATCAAAAAATGTTTGCTTTGTAGTTATAGCTACTACATAATAACTGATACACTCAATACTGCCATCTTTAGCCAAAAAGCGGTATCTGAATTGAAGCGAATTTCGAGAACAAAATACATTTTCTAAGTTTTCGTGTTCATTCGAGTTGAAAAAAATTATTTAGATACCCACTGGATTGTTTTAAATTTTACTTTTGAAGTTCTTGTGTCGTATAAGGATATGCAATCATTTAGCTCAGTAATACTGGTATGTTTTGAGTTAGATATGGATATTTTACTTAGTTCGACTAATGCACGATGTTTCAAGCTATCTGATGAGTTAAAAAACAAAAAAGTCGTGTTTTTAAGATACTGCTTTTTGGCTTAGGAGGGCAGAATAGTCCTTATCATATAATTCTCTAAGTTTCATGAACCATCTATTGTGGTGCTTGCAATGTCGCCACATTTATATACTTCTATTTTTTCTGTTTGTCTATATCTTTAATTTATAATCATATCTTATTTGTATTTTAGTTAAAGATTGGTTAGCCTTAGTACCTCCTACAGCTGTTGTGGCAGGTGTTGGTTATATGTCTTATAAAGCATTTTGTCCTAAGGCTAGAGGAGGTTGTTCAAGATCATCTGGTTTAGTTAATCATCAAATTCTTAAAAAAAGCGATAAGGTAGTAGATTCAATTGATATAGAAGATATTTCCGAGAAAGCTGTCTTTTGTAGGTGTTGGAGAAGTAAAAATGTAAGTTCTAACTCACCCAAGAAACATTAATTATAAAATATTACCTTATATTCTTTAAGGTGTTTCAGATGTAATAAAAAATTATGTTGATATCGAATGTTTGCTTAAAAATTTTTCTGATGAAATGCCTTATAATAATTTATATAGTGCTATAAAAACAAATTTTGTAGTATTTAATATTAAAACATATTAATCAAATTAATTGGTATAAGGTAAAAGGTTTTGATAGCAAAGCAATAAATATAATAATTATTGTAAAGATTGTTTCCTAAGTCCACATTTTTTTGTAGTGGTGTGACTGATTTTTTTTGTGCAATGTTAAGAGGTAAAATATATTTATGCATAAAATTGGAAAAATAATACTCATCTTTGTACTTGGAGAACATTGAAAGCAACAATTTTTTAAATGTAATATACCCTACTTTAAATGAAATTAAAATAAAAAAATTACCCTGTGTAATTTGTGTTTATTTCATGTCTATGGTTAATTTCTTTCCTTCTATTGTTTTTATATTGTCTACTAAATTTTTCCCTTCTTTTTTTTTAAGTATTATTAAACCTCTTAGTCTTATGATGTTCCTGAGTTATCTTGTTTAATATTATTTGTGCATATTTTTTTAAATAATTGGCGACTAAATGCCTCTTTTTGTGTTTCAGTGGCCTTATTGTGATGGTAGCCACAATGCTCACAATAAAGATCAAGGAGATAACGTTGGACCTCTAATAGTGAGCAATAAAAAGTAAATTAAAAAATTAGATGGCTTCCTGTATACTTTTAAAAGTAGTATATTTTGTGGTGTTGTCTATATAGTGTAAAACTTGCAAATAGGATGTCTTAAAATAACTGATACATTTTGTTCATTTTTATTAAAAAAAAATATTTAAATACTTAAGGTTTGTTGTGTTTATTTACTAAAAATGTAAAAATATATACGTTCTTGAACATTTGGTTTTTTTTTACCCGAATTTCCTGCTACACTGTAAGTGAGTCTCAAAGTACTGATCTTGTAGAACAAAAATAAAAATTACTCAGAGAAAGATTTCAATCTATCATAGTTCTTGTGGATACTATAGAGAAATTTTGTTTATCTGTAACATAGTAGTATATCATATCTGTTATGCTCTATATCAGGGATTCCCAAGGTGGTCGATACCGACCCTTTGGGGTCGAAATCGGTTTAGCAGGGGTCAACATAAACGAAAACTGATTTTGAGGACCAACGAAGTCTATTAACACAAGTTCTTATTTGAAACTAAGATACTGTATAAGTTGTGTACCAACTTTTTATAAGAATGACTAATAATATTTTAGTAGGAAATACATTATTGTACTTTTAAAAAACTGAAGTCGATAAGCGTGCACGAGTTCGTACTAGAGAAAAGGCCATTCATAAGATCGATGTTTGCGTCATCTATGCAAGATGTTGATGGTTTACAAGCGTCCAATAATATATCTTTACTAATAGCGAAGTCGGGGAAATCCCACGGAATTGGAGAGCAACTTGTACTATACTCATTTTATTAACGTAAAGAAAGAATATTTTTCATCAGTAAAATAAAAGACAACTAGTGTGACTAATATTTATCACTAAAAAGGTTTATATAAGTATTAATCATTCTCTGCTCGGAGCGACACGTTTCTGGGCAGATTTTTGTGTTTAAAAGGATTAGTCTGAAATAAACCTTCTTTATTATAAGTTCGTTTTATTATTTTTGGTTGGGTCGATTACAAGCTTATTTTACCAGCCATTACGAACAGTGGCGGCTCATGATCACAAAATTGGGGGTTCACAATGACAGAATATATATCAGTACAGATTTAGGTAAAAAACTTTTAGTTTTTATAATACACCTTTTCAAAATACTGAAAGATTTTTACCTAAAACTGTACTGAGAACCTATATTATATCATTGTGAACCCCCAATTTTTTGTCCACAAGCCGCCACTGATTACGACAGTCCTTAACAATGCATTGTACAAGCCTGCACATGATATTGTAAAGATAATTTTTTCGAGCAATAACACCGTTCAGAGTGGAATAGGCGAGATGGATTGAGACGTGGAAAACATTCTATGCAATTTCTTACAGACTTTTTCTCATTTGGACGAGTCTACATTACCCGGCAATGCAGCTCAGCAATGAACTGCTTTTTACTACACATGTAGAGACTGATACGAGAGGAAAATTGATTTTTTAGGCCGTGGAAAGTTATTCCATGGAAGAACATTGTTTCTGATGCGACTGATGGTGCACCATCTATGGCTGGTCGTTATATCGTGGTTTTATAGCTCACTTAAAGCGACAACTGCCTGAGGTACTGGTTATTCACTGTAATTCACAGACAGCATGTAGTAGCAAGAAATTTGATTCCTACATTGCACCAGTCTTTACAATATGTTATTAATGCTGTCAACAAGATTCAAAGCAATTCTTTGAACTCTCGGTTATTAGCTCAGCTATGTAAGAAAAAAAAAACGAAGTCTATTTGGTTGTATTATGTTGCGAATGGGGTGTTAATATTCTGCGACCTAAAAGATCTATTGTGTCCCATGTTGCAGCAAGAAAATGTCTCAATGCCTATAACGACCCTTTTAATCCTATCTTCTCAAGGAAGTGTAGGATTTGGAGCGACTTTAAGTTAGTTCTCCCTCTTCTATTTTATATACTCCTAGGTATAGTGCCCTTGGATTCTGGAGTGCTACACATTCAGTCAGAATGTGAATGGAGGTTTCGTCTTCCTCCACATGGAATCTGCACTCACTATCTTCTACTACTCTCCGTTTACTAAGGTGCCCTGTGAGTCGGCAATGCCCTGTAAGGATCCCTATTACAATACATAGCCTGCTCGCTCAGGCAGATACAGGCTTCCGATCTTTTTTGGTTATATTTACCCAGAAGTATCTTAGCCCCAAAGAGATTGTTCTCTAATTATTGGTTCTTTTATCTTTGTTAATCTCTCCTAATATTGTGTTACTGCTAATTATGCAGAAAGGCTCGGGTTCCACAAAAGGTGTTTCAGCCCTTTCCTTGGAAGACTATCTGCAATTTAGTTACCCTTTACACCGTTGTATCCCAGGACCCAAGCGAGAGTAACTGTATTTTCCTCGCCTAGCTCATTTACTTTTTCTATGCATCTCCAGACCATTTTTAAGTTGATTACGTAAGAGTTCAGCGCTTTTGATGGCTGCTTGGCTATCGGATATGATAATAATCTCTTATATGCGATAGTTTCTCTCAATGTTGAACTGAGCAACACTTATCAATGGTGCCAATTCCCAGATAGCACAAATACGTCTTATGGACGTTCTAAAAACGTCCTGCTTGGACATTCAGGACATCCTTAAAACGTCCATTTTACGGACGTGGACGTCTTATGGACGTCTTTGGAACGTCCATTGTTAATAATCAGGATGTCTTAGGAACGTCCATTTAAGGACATTCCATGGACATTTTCAAAAGCTTGAATGGGGAATAATAGGATGTAAGAAAATTAATGAAAATAATGAATAATTTCAAAAAATTTTATTTGGAAGCAAATAACCTATAAATAATAATATTATTGAAACTTTTTCGTCAAATTCATTCGGTCTCTCCTCTTCTTTACGCTTTTCAACCATGCCTGGATTGACAGCAGTTGTTTTTTCTTGATTTGGCCATAGGTATTTGCCTTCTCAGTTGAACCTGAAAATAATTTAATGGCTTATTCAAAATCAAAGGCAGATCAATATGAAAATTCAATCTGTTTGCGAAAGTTTGCTCTGCTAGACATTATAAATTCACTAACCTTTTATCTTTGAATTATTCACTGGAAAACTCCTCTACTTTACTCTTTTCAACCATGCCTGGATTGACAGCAGTCAGTTTTTTTCTTGATTTGGCCATATTTGCCTTTTCAGATGAACCTGAAAATAATTTAATCGCTTATTCAAAATAAAAGGCAGATCAATATGAAAATCAAATCTGTTTGTTAAAGTTTGCCCTGCTAGACATTATGAATTCACTAACCTTTTAGCTTTGTAGCATTCAATAAAAAACTCCCCTACTTTATTCTTTTCAATCATGCCTGGATTGACAGCAGTCATTTGTTTTTCTTGATTTGGCCTGTTTGGCCATATTTTCCTTCTCAGCTGAATCTAAAAATAATTTAATCCCTTATTCAAAATAAAAGGCAGATCAATATTAAAATCCAATCTGTTTGTTTAAGTTTGCCTTGCAAGACATTATACATTCACTAACCTTTTAGCTTTGTAGTATTCATTGGAAAATTTCTACCTTTCTCAAACATACAAACTGCAAAAAATTAATATTCATCAACCACAAACTCACAGAGTCGAATCACAGTCAAATGGCGGGATAATAGAACTTGTACTCGTATAATATGTATATACCATCGAATCATGAACATTGAACACATGTTCTTTCTTTTCTTTCTATAAAACCTGAGTCTTGAGAATATTTCAGTGCTTGAATCTTTAATACATGGAGGAAAGATTATTAATTATTATTTAATAATTATTATTTAATAATTAGGCATTCCAAACTGAATGGCTACCAGTGGGTTTTGACAGGTTATGCTATGGCAAAATTATGGCAACTCTGTAGGCCAGGGGCCCAATTCCTGACGCCTTCGTTAACTTATCGCATGCGATAACGTATGCGACTTGATGAAAGTGTATTCCTGAACTGGCGGCATTCGTCAAATTTATTAACGCATGCGCTAAAAAATGGTGATTTTCAAAGAGCGCTCATGACCGTTCGACAACCACTTTGTCGCATTCGTTAAGGTGAAAGTAAGGTTATAATCAGAGGGTTGTCTCCACATACTTTGATTTTCTTTTGCATGTGGTTGTCTCTGTTATAATTGTCAATTAATCCTGCTTTATCATAGGAGTTTTACAGGCACTAAACAATGTTATAAATTCTACTAAAGTTTCACGCTGTTTTTCCGTTATTCGTGAACCACGCTGTTCCATTTTTAATATTCTAAATCTAAACCACTCCAATTCTCAAGTCCAAAATGCAAATAATCACAGTTAAAACATCCAAAAACCAAAAATTATTAGACATCTGCAATCCATTTAATTTTATAATTTTTGCATTTTTGGCAATTTTGACATATGGCAACACAAAGCACATAGAGGTTCCACGTGAATGACCAAGGTTAAAACCGACAACTGACATTTTTTATGCTATTTGCTCCAAACTCTAGATGGGGCTACTGGTGAAATTCTGATTTCTTACTAGGGATGGGCAAAACTGCTATTTTTAAATAACAGTTATAACAGTAACTGCTTTTTCTAAAAAGCAGCTTTCAAATAGCTGCTTTTTAATAGCAGTTTATTAAATCATCGCAACATGTAGTTCGACTACTCTGCTTAAGTGTTTACCGGTATTTCATTATTTACTAGTCGATCGGTGATCGCGTTCAAATCTGTTAAGCTGTCTAATAATGTCGAGTTAAATATCAACCTGTGCCGGTGGTTCCCCAAATTGTCAGAATAAATCGACGACAACGGGAATGGTAACAATTAAAAAATTAGTCTTTGTATGCCATCACGTCCTCTCTGAGGTAAGTTTTGTGTTGTGAGTTATTTTCTTAAAACAAATTTATTTGCTGAAAATATTTGTAAGAGGGCACAGCATTTTTGGTCTAACCATAACTGTTATTGTACAGAAAAACATAAACATCCGTAGTGCACGTATAAAATACGACATTCGCATCAGCAACTTGCCATTGTCATCGTCGCATCACGCGCACCATGCACTCACAACATAGTCACAAAGATCGGCGTATCTCAAATCGAAATATTAGTGAAAATGGTAAACTGCTATTTAAGAAGCAGCGATTTGTAATAGCCGATAGCAGTTGAAAGCTGCTTAGTTCAAATAACAGTTGTCAAATAGCAGTTTACTAAAAAGCAACCCATCTCTATTTCTTACT